ATACACTGTCAGTAAACATGTTTGTTTTATTTTAGAAACCTGAAGAACGTCAGTCCTCTGATGCCAACAAAAGGTTTGCTATCACCATTTTCTTTTTTAACACCCATATGCTGCACACTTACCATGCCAGTTTTAACATTTAACATTTCTGACTTCGTAGCAAACCTGCTTCAGGAAAGGAGAAGGCTGCTGCAGGAGAAGACTCAGGTGGGTCAACCAAGAACTGTTACTGGGGGTCTGCAGTCAGTCGGGGTTAGCACATCCACATCTGTCATTGGCAAGAAACTTGATCAGTTATAATATATAAAAAGTTGCCACATGTAGACTGGTTGGTGATGTCATGCTTTAACTGGCTTGTTGTGGTGTTTATGAAAACATACTGATTGTAGCTCTAACCCCCACCTTCCTCTCCTACTCCCCACTCCAGGAGGTGAGGCTGACCAGAAGACTTCTAATGAGGTACATGATCCACACACATGCCTTTGTTTTGAACCTCTGTTTATTGCTTTATTAAATGATACAAAAACACATACAACCCCTTCCCTCCTCTACAGTGACTTCAAGGACCTCTCTCATTAATTATAACGGACCTCTCTCATTAATTATAACATACAGATAAAAACATTGTGAAAAGGGCTGGTGAAAAAATCTCTGTATACATTCTGGGAATTTGGCCAGGGGTGCCAAAACTTTTGCATTCATCTGTATCAAATTCACAGTTTGAGTACATGTCTGTTAAAATCAGGTTTAATCTCTTGTAATATAACATCAGTGTTCAGACATTTTCCTTACATCCCATTACAATGTCTCCTACAGAAAGGCCTGGTGTTGATCACTGGACTTCCTGAGGGTAGCTGGTCAGAGTGTGACATCATCAAGCTGATCCAGCCCTTTGGCACGCCTTCTGACATCATCCTGGCAGCACAAATCGGAAAGGTTGGTGAAAACACTTGTACCTACACATGTTGGTGAGTCCTGAGTTTTTGCTAGTTCAATAGGATGTTGACAATAAATGGTCATGAACACCCACAGCATGCTACGTCTGAAAAGAGTCTACAAAATTAATCTGATCACATATACTATTTTCTGAATTTCTTGATTGTTGAGCTGTTATTATGTTGTCTGTTCAAGTTAAGTTAAGTTAAGTTTTTGTGTCATTTATTATTGGTATTTGTCTTCTGCCGTGAGCTGGAACGAGCTACAAAACATGAAACTGAGGTGCAAGTGCTTCCCAAGAAACATGAGCCCAATCAGCCAGAGGAAAAGTCCATGCCCTCATAATCTGGGGAAAGTATTGATAAGTGCATTCGAGATCGAGAGAAAAATAAAAGATAAGAATGTGAAGTTCTTAAATATTTTATCTTAAATATAAAAATGGATAACATGACATGCGTGACAGTGAAGCATTTAGCCAATCAGGACAAAGTGCTGTAGTGACAGAGGTGGTTCACAGTCGGTGAAGCCGGAGGAGAGACACTGCAGGCGCCTTGCTCCTGCGAGGTTGACGTTACGCAGCACTGGCAAAAGTTGGACAGAATTTTGAACTGGCTGTGAGCTGTAACGGGTAATGAAACTTAGTGACATTACTGGAAATGACGTGTCAATGCTTCCCATGAAATATGATTACAATTGGCTTAATGGTGGGCACGACTGGGTGTTTGGGAATATATGTCTACTGAAGCATTTTGAGCCTGACCCATAGGGGGCGCCACAAATACCAGAAACATGTACCTCAACTCAGTGGACAGAATTTGACCAGTTCAGTGACATTGATTAGTGCAAGTAGGCGTGGCCTATCATATATTTGCTCATAACTCAAAATGCCTTCGAGCAAACCTTATTAAACTCACTGGAGACATCCTGTGGTGTCTCCTGAAGATGACACTTTGAGTGCACAGTTATTGAAATGCTGCGTGCTTTGTGATGATGAAAGGAGTGTGTAATTATTTTATTGTTTTATTTTTGCCTTTGTAATTATTAATATTGATCGACAATGAAAAAATGCCCTGGAGCTATTTTTTCTCATGTTCTTCCTGTTTGTATGTTAGGTGCTTGTGTCAGTGCCAGACATGGAGATTGCTCAAGAGATTGTCAAAGTTCACACCTTCATCCCCGCGAAGATCAACAACTCAGAGCTGAAGATAATCCAGGTCAAACAGCGTATTGGCCACAGCACACCGGTAGGCCTCTCATCATCAACCCAAACCCTTCACAGTATATTGATCACCTTCTCTCCTCGGCTGCTGTCTAACGTTCTTAATTAATTATCTTAGTTTAGATTGGTTGGTTCTTTGATATTGTGCTTAAAGTTTGGCATTTCAGTCACTAGTTCTGTAGAAAATCACTTTTTTGTGTAGTTTTTTGTGTTGAACAATGAATCCTCAGCAAAAACTCATGATTATACCAAAACTCTTCATACAGGTGGCTCTTTACAACCTGCTGATGGGATCAGTGGACCCATTAGTGAGTATTTCTACTGTTATACTGTACTGGTCGAAGGTTTTAGAACAGCACATTAACTGAACAAACAAACCAGTATTTCACATGGAGATTGTAATGTTACAGAAAGTCAAAGGCTGTGATGATGTCTGACCAACTTTAATAGTCTGTATATGAATGAGTAAATTGTCCCCTGGCTAATAAAGAAGTTGGATGTTCTTTTGTCTCCTTCAGGAGAGTCCGGTCCCTGTTGGCTGGAGCACCCTCCTGGTGATCAGTAATGTTCCCAACACACCGTCTGGCTCCTATGAGGTCCAGAAACTGGTGCGACGCTTCGGTACCGTCATCAAGACCCTAGTGCTCAACAACACGGTGAGGCCTGTTTGTCTGTGCAGCTGCTAACATGCTAATCTGTTGTATCCTGAGCCAACCTCGTGAATACCTCTGTGCTCAGACACAGCTGCATCCTGGGTAGAGAATCTATTCCATGAATCTGTCATGTACCACTCTTCATTTACTACAGACGTACCTTCCGCTAAGACCCAGAGAGCCTAGCTGCTGTTTGAGACCGTCTCAACAACCTTAACTGTTGGATGGCACAAAATTCCCTACAACTCAGCAACTCAAAATTAGAAACACTGTTTAATCCACCAAACTCCATCAGTACCATACTAGAGTACTGTTTGATTCTAACCTGACCTTTGATCACCCACACCAAAGAAGTTGTCCAGTCCTGCTTCCTCCAAATAAGACCCATCTCCAGCATCAAACCAGTCATCTCACAACCTGATCTGCTAAAACTCATTCACACATTCATTTTCTCAAAACTGGACGACTGTAACTCCCTCCTCTCTGGCATGAACCTAAAGTCACTCTCCCTCCTCCAACTGGTTCAGAATCCAGCAACTCGGCTTCTTACTGGTTTTAACAGACAACGTCACATCACCCTGATTCTCACTTGCCTCCAACGGCTCTTTGTCTGTTTTAGAATTGATTTGAAGATTTTACTGATCAGTTTTAAAGCACGCTGGGGCCCCGAGCTACATTACAGAGTCATTAACCCCATACGAGCCAGTACACAGGCTTAGATCCTCAGGTCAGGTCCTTCTGACCGTTCCAAAGTCGAGGCTTAAATCTAAAGGTGACCGCGCTTTCTCCATCAGGACCCCACGACTTTGGAACGACCTGCCCGAGGAAATGAGGCAGAATGAGTATGAGCCCTTTTATTGCTTTTATTGTGTGTTTTATTGTTTTGACGATCATTGCGTTTGATTCGTTTATCAAAGCACTAAACCCTGTATTTAGGTGCATAGTTATTATTATTATATTCATTTGTAAGTCATCTCACATGTTGTTGACATGACGTTTCACCTCTGTCTGCTTAGGTCATCTGCGAGATGGCGACTGCAGCCATGGCTTTGTCCGTTTACAAGCGCTTCCAAACGTTTCCGTGTATCATCCAGAACAACCCTCTGTTCTTCTCCCGCAAGCCAGACCCCAAAGCAAACACACAGACAAAAGTCATCACTGCCTACCTGGATTCCCCTGAGGTCTGTAACATTGAGAAAGGATTGGCATCATTGTTATTTATTACCAATTTAGACACATTTGTTATCCACTACTGGCATGATGTCCTGTGTGCATGTGTTTGATGTGACGCTGCTCAGTACATCCCTGTGTCTTGTCATAGGATACATCCGCAAATGGCAAGAGCAGCCAAGTATCAGCAGCTGCAGACAAAGAGGAGACGGTGCAGAAAGAGAGGTCTGAATCTGCTCTGGAGGGGATGGAAAACAACGCTGTGGGGACAGACGAGAAGACAACGAGCACGGAGAAGATGGTCGGTGAAGATGAAGCTCTGGGAGAAAACGAGATCATAAAAGACGAGTTTACCGGTGCTGCACCAGACACCAAATCAGAGGCAGGGTTGGATACAGACATGAGGGAAACAGCTGCTAAAACTATCATGGAGACAGCAGACGAGAGCAAAGGAGTCAATGCATCTGAAGCAGGAAATGACAAGACTTCAGCTGGCGAAGAGACAAATCTATCGAGCCCCCTTGGCAAAGCAGCTTCGGGGGAGATGCTCGTGCCAGAGCTGCCAAAGGTAAAATGCTAAAAATGTCAGTCTGCTGTTGGAGCCAGGTTGTTCTCTTGAGAGTTTTGACATCTCTGTTTGATCCCTGTTTCACCAGGTTACTCAAGAGATGGTGAACGCGTTGCTTGTGGAGTGCCGAACAAGAACCGCCAGCCATCCCAACAACAACACCAACACAGCCACTTCCTCCTGTGGAGAAAAGGGGGAAACACAAATGGAGACAGAGCAGGGTGAAAAGGCAGCAGAGGAGACAAAAGAGGCCAAGAACCACACAGAGGAGGAGATGAAGAAGCAGGACAGGGAGAGAAAAGAGAGGGAAGCGAGAAAGGAGAAGGAGGTGAGGGAACGAGAGAGGAAGGAGAGGGAGAGGAGGGCCTGGGAGAAGGAGGAGAGGGCTAAGAAGGAGAGGGAGTGGGAAGAAAGAGCCAGGAGAGAGAGGGAGAAGAGGGAGTGGGAGAGGAGGGAGAGAGAGAGGAGGGAGAGAAAGAGAGCGTACGGCGAAGGTGTGTCAACATCGAGGTCATCCTGCAGGTCAGAGGGATACAAGCAGAGCTTCTGGAGGGATGTACACAGTAACGGCTCAGAGGCCAGAATGGTGAGATGCTGCTGTCGAGTCAAATCGTGTAGAAACTTAAATCTCACCTCTTTGTTCTTATCCTCCGCTTTCTGTTTTTTATTCCATCAGCTGGAGGAGGACGAGGAGTTCCCATTCAACATGAGTGACTTTGTGACAGTCGATGAAGTAGGAGATGTCACCGACCTTCCTCGTTCTCCTTCGCCTGTTGTTCCCATGGAAACTGTAGACGGGACCCAACAGGACCCTCTAGGGGTAGATTATAACTTTTTCTCTGCATGTTTATTAAGACTTAAAGGTCCACAGTGTGATGACATCAGTGCTCTTCTTGTCTTCCGCTTCTAGGACACGCCCACAGAGGTTGCCACAGAAACAACAACGTCGGATGCAACAGGGACCCCAGTGAAGTCTGGTGAAGGAGTATCAGAGTGTGTGTCAGCAGCTCAGACTCTGGTCTTCACTGCTGCAGCACCCTCTTCCTCACCAGCCTCAGAGGCTGACTCGTCTCCCAGACAAACACACCAACCAACATGTCACCCAGCAGCACCTGAGACAGGTACGCCCTCACACTCCTAACATCCAGGAGGAACTGAAGGAAACAAACAAACACATCTTTCTTGTATCATCTTTCTTTTCCTAAAGTTGTGTAAGCTCACGGTAACGGTGGTGAAGAGAACAACTCTCATGATCCCACGCTATTTCTTGACGTCTTTTCTTATTGTTTTGATTGAGAGAGCCATAGGGGCAAAAGTTACTGACTGCATGTTCAAGTTTAAAACTGTGTGATCCATTTTGTCCTGAAATCTGTCGTTATTTTTTAGAAACCACACCCATAGCCTCTCTGGACTCAACCTCAGAGGTTGAACGACTTTCCCCGTCCGCCCCAGCAGCTGCAGGCAACCCACCTGAAGCTGCCCCAGCAGACGCCTCCTTAAACAGCCCAGCCACAGGGGAAGTGACTGCAGAGAGTGGGGAGGATAAGACAGAGGAAACTGCTCTCAATCACAGCCAGGCCAAGGAGGAGGAGGTGGTGGTGCAGGAGCAAGAGGACAAAGAGACAGGAGTCCCTGCAGCTTATACAGGTACAGTTTATTTGATTAACACACCGCACCCCACCCCACCCCACTCCCCAGCAGATTCTATAGACTGTATGTTCCAGATTTTAAAGAGGTCCCTGTCTCTCCCAGGAAAACAAGAGAGGTCTGAGGACCAAACAAACAAACAAGAGGAGAGCATGAAGAAAAAATTACAGAAGAAACCTCCCATGAGCAAAGACTACTCCCTCCCTCCGTTTGACCCCAGCAACCCAGTTGGTATGGCACCATTTATTCACATGTATGTTTACAGTGTCTGACAGTGCACAGCTGATAGAGTCCACTGTCATGTCTTTGTGGGTGTGTCCCCTCAGGTATGGAGTTCTTAGTCCCAAAGACGGGTTTCTTCTGTAAGGCGTGTAATAGATTCTTCAGCGGAGCCAAAGAGGCCGAGATCAACCACTGCAGAACGGCCAAACACTACGAGAACCTCCAGGTGGGCAACACACACTGACTCTTACTCATGATGCATTACCTCATCATAGAGAGAGAGCAGTGCCATAAATATCCAGGTGTTTGATTTGATGAAAGACATATTTTAAAAAAAGATCCTTGATCTATTCTTGACTCTGTGAAACGTACTGTTATACAAGTGAGAAAATGTCCACATTTTCACAAAGAGGTCAGAGTCTTCCTTACTCCAGTTTCCTGTTCCCTTCTCTTCTAGAAATACCTGCAGACCATGAAGACAGTGAACGAGACCATCAGTCCTGAGTCCAACTGAATATGGCTCTGAAACTCTCGACTAAATTTTGTCATTCCCATCCTTTTGTATTTTGTCTTTGTTTCTCACTGAAGGTCCAGGTTGTCATGTTGCAGTAGATTAGTCACCTCCTATCTCTGTATCTATCTTGTACAATTAAAAATGAGTGGAACTGTACATTGGAAAATGGCCCTCTGTATAAACTGTGCACAGGTAATAAAAAGTCTTGACCAAATTGTCGCTTATCATTTGTCCCTGTGCACCACTCAGTGAAGTGAGATGTTTATGTCGGGGAGTTGCACTGCTACAACAGGTAGCTGTTCAGGACCAGAGGGGGGAGTTCAGGGACCGGGTGTGAGGCCCTCCCAGTCACAACCCCAATCTTTCCTCCTTGGTCTGGGCCTTCCTAAGTCCCCCTCCATGTGAACCACACTTAAGCACCCTTCCCTGTATCCCTATATAAAGTATCGACAGGCACATTTTGAACAGGTGATACATTAATGAGAGAAATTGTTAATTGATAAAATAAAAAGCCAGATACAGGTCCTGAGAATTTTATTTAATTTTATCCATTTTCCAAAGCTAAAATGTGTATAAACATTATTTAATCAGCCATCACATATTTTGTGCCTCAAGCACCTGCTGAAAACCTATAAAAGTTAAGGCTCACTCTTTGACAACAGCTGACATTCAAAGGAATCAACTGCAGGTGATTACAGTGGGTGTTATATAGAAAGGTAACGACAATGAAACTAATGAACAGCTGATCTGTCTGATCTGATTTACTACTGTTGTGTGTTCAGATACCTGCACAAATGTTTCCTCTGAACACATCATCCCTCAGCCAAGACTGGCTGCATCTTAGCAACAGTCACAGGGCTGAGGAGCGAGGAAGTGTGACAGGTAGACTGTACCTGCCAGGTAAAACCTGAAGGCAGCATCCTACCTGAGCAGACACCTGGACTCTACCTTACACTATATGTGAGAGAAGTGATAAAATTAGTGACAAGAATATTAAAAATTAAATTAAGACTAGTCAAACCAGTGATACTGTTATGTAGGAGTTGTCAGGTGCTGAGTTATTTGCAGGACATTTACTTGACCAGAAGATGGCAGTCGTAGTAGCAGCTGTAGTGAACATGTTCTTAACACACAGATCCCTCAGGAAGCTTCATATCACTCGTTTGCATTGTGTATAGTGTTGTCAGGGAGTGTGATCCGGTTCATGCTGGTACTAAACTACACCACCAGTCAAAGTTTTTACAACAGCTCCTTCCAGCTGTTAATTAAATGCACATGATTCAGTGTCTCAGTGTTTCTGACATTAAAGCAAAGAACAAATAAATAGTTGGAGATTAAACAAAAAGGAATCATTGAATCTTGTTGAACTAAACTGAACCTAAAAAATTGACTCTGCCAGCAGCTCAACTCATTCTGTCTGACTTTCTACAATGGAAATCAGACATTGACAGACTGTCAGTCACTGTCAGTTTCCTTTGCTTTCCGCTCCTGTCCAGTTCATCCCAGACCAGCTCCATGGGGTTCAGATCTGGAGACTGTGCTGGTCTTCATCATGTTGCTGTAGGATGAAACACTGACTAATCCCTTTCTTCCTCTGTCCCTGCTCTGTCTCCCTCCACTCTGACAGCAGTATACAGTCATACTTCCTGCAGCACAGCATGTCATGGTGACACGCTGTCAGAGGGTTTGTCATCATCAACCTGGAGGAAGTGTTTGTATTAACTTTCAAGGCTTCATTTACTCTCACTGCTGCATTAAAACTGGATGTTCACCTACAGAGCCCCCAATCTTCTCATCCAGCTAAAGTTTGAAGTTCTAATCTGTAACTTTTCCACATTAAAATGTCTACAAACAACTAGAGCTATGTTCTATGTGTGGTTGAGTTGTGTTCTTTTTTTTTTTTTTAAATGTGTTTATTAATTTTCAATAAGCAGACATACAGAAGACAAGACTAAACAAAATAATAGAACAACAACAAGCTGGGAACAACAACATCAGAAACCCAAATAGAAGGATCAGTTCCAGATAGATGTGACAGGTACATTATACAGTATAGGATGAGAAAGAGTGGGAGCCAAGAAAGAAGAGAAACCAAAAAAGAAAGAAAACCCAGCAACCCAGAGACAAAACACAAGAGCATTTTATACAAATGCCCTTATCAGTATAGCAGAGATGTTTACATTAATATAGTCAAGAAATGGTCTCCATATTCTCTCAAAGGCATTAGTTTTGGAGTGCAGAAGACAGGTAAGGAAGTCCAGAGGTATGTATTCCATTATTGTCCTGTGCCATCCCACCACTGAGGGGGCCTTATCTGAAATCCAGTGCTGTAGACTATTTTTCCTGGCACAGAATGACAAAACATTATACAGTTTCTTCTGGTACATATCAGTCACACGATCACTGGGAAGGCCCAGAAGGAGAGAAACCGGGTCGAGATCGAGGTCCTTCTTCAGAACCTTTTGCATTTCAAATAAGACATCACTCCAATAATTTTGTATTTTCACACAGGACCAGAAACAGTGAGTAAGATCACCAATTTCTGTCTTACATTTAAGACAGAATGGAGAGACATCCTTCCTGTATTTGGAGAGACGGTTTGGACCAACATGTGCTCTATGCAGTATCTTAAGTTGCATCGCTCTTGTCCGGTTACAAACAGTTATTCTTCTTGCATTATCCCAGATGTCCTCCCACATCTCCTCAGTAATCACAACACCCAGCTCCCTCTCCCAGACCACCCCCAGCGTCCGAGCGCTGAGATTTGAGCTGTCTCTCAGACAGGTGTAAAAGTTTTTAATGGAAGCATGGCCCTGAGAGAGAAGTACTTGTTTCTCTATCTGTGTGACACTCGTATCAGCGAGCAGAGATGTATCCTTTACAATAAAATCTCTCACCTGAAAGTAACGAAAAAGATCATTTCTTGATATGCCATATTTTTCCATAACTTGACTGAAAGACATGAGGGTAGGACCATCAAAGAGATCACCCAGGGAAGAGATACCCCCAGCTGCCCAGCCTCTAAAAGCTCCATCCAAGGTTCCCGGGAGGAAGTCAGGGTTATCAGCGATCGGAGTAAAAACCGACGTAAACCCTGATCTGCCCTCCATGTGTTGTGCGAACCTCCATGCTCTAACAGTATTAATTGTAACTGGGTTGCTGCAAAGCCCTTTAATACTCTTCAGTTTGTTAATAAATAGTAGATTTTTCAGAGGACATCCGGATAGGGACTTCTCGAGGTCAAGCCAAATTGAGGAAGCCTCATCTTTAATCCAATCAGCTATATATCTTAGATGGGCACTTAATTGATATCTCTTAATATCTGGGAGATCCAGTCCACCCATAGTGCTTGGTAACTGCAACACTGACATCCTGATCCGTGGTCGACGTTTACTCCAAATAAAAGAACTAAACCAACCATTGAGTTGTGTTCTTACATTATCACAAATGTTTCCATCAATTCTCAAACCAGAGAAATGTGTGATTTTAATCATGGTAACATTGGTCAATGACATCATATCCTCTATGATCATGTGTCAGTGTGTTTGTCTGACTGAAGCTCAACATTGACTTTTATCTAGTTTTAAGCCACATACACTTTTTACACCTTGGTGGTTTTCAGTTCTATATCTGAACCACTGGCGGCTGCTGGTCTTATAAGGAGGGGAAGCTCATTTTCGGCTTTCATCATGTGTCCGTTTATTTATATGTAAATTCGCAGAGTGACAGAAGAGAGTCGCCAAACACAACGCTAGTCGTTTTTAACAAAGACAAAATCGCCGAGGGTCAGTAACGTCTCCAGATCAACTCCGAACAACGCAATGAAAAACTTGAAAAATGCTCCGGTGGATGCTTAAACTTCAAGATCGCTGATTCGCTCATTTCGCTGTCAATCAAAAAGGGACTCAGCCTCAGACAGATCATCCAATCATCATGCAGAAGCCGAGCGTCCGGGCCAGCCCACTGCCCCATAGACCCCCAGAGACGCTGAGCGTCCGATGGGCGGGACAAAGCCCAGCATTTATCCAATGACCGTCTAGTTTCGCTGCAGTGGAACAACCCACTCTGTGCTTCCCCGTTGAAGTCAGTAGACGCTCGGCGTCTACACTGTGTAAAGCTCTGTGGCGCTGCGGGGATGAATGAGAAGGAAGTCGTGTCGGTTACCTGTGATAAGTAGCTGATTCTGAACAAAAGATGAACGTGTTCTAGCGCATATTTAGTCAATGAAATGTACACACAACAGTACATATTTGACCACTTATTTTGTTGACATCTTAGGGGAAGCTGAGCTTCCCTTGCAGTCTTAGAGCAATCGCCACTGATCTGAACCAGATGAAGGATTTTAGTCGACGGACGTCTGGATCTGAAGTTATCAGAGAAACAAGCTGAGGAAATGTTAGACAGCTCAGCTCCCAGCTGCTGGAGACGTCCTGTCCTGTGTCACTGAAGAGCGTCGCTGAATCTCTGATCTTTAAAGGTAAACTGCTTTATTGGTGTTTCTACTGGTTTTAATCCCCTGGTGTGTTTGTTATGGAGAGGAGGACACCTCTGTGGAGAATTCAGCTGCTGGTAAAAACCTGCTGAACGTCTGCTTCTTAAGTTATCAGAGAAACAATCAGAACAAAGGTTAGCATCAGTCTCAGCTCCAGCTCTTCCCTGAGTCTCTGTCCTCCGTACAGCGTCGCTCAAACTCTGACTTTAAATGTCAAACTGCTTCATTCAGTGTTTTTAATGGTTAGAATCAGCAGGTCTGTTTGATTTCCTGAACCACTGACACTGAAGGAATCCAAACCGAGAGAAGACAACAACTCCCATGACCCCATGATTAAATCTTATTGATTATTGAAAGATTTATTTGGTATCATTCTTGAGCTGTGTTATTTGACATGTGGCTTTCGTATGTGCATTAATGAAATCATTTTGGCCCTGGGACAGAGAGAGAGAGAGAGAGAGAGAAAAAAGGCATATCTGCACAGCCACACCTGTCGAGCAGGTTGGATTGGATTAGCTCTACAGATGGGGGATTAGGAGGTGGGAGGGGTCAATAGCACAATGACACAGGCAAGGAAAGAAAAAGGAAGGTATGTGACAACCGAGATGCAGACACAGGGATTGACAGGAGCAGAGAAGACATCTTGGACATCTTGGACATAATGCTTCATATTTTGACCTGCTGACACAGAAATAATCTCTTCAGCCCTCAGAGCAGGTAAGACACGTCTATCTAAAGTGGAAACACATTAGAGTCTTTTTTCATTCACTAGGAATCTGTGTGTTTCACTTGTTGCCTCCCGCCACTAAGTTAATGGACCAAACAGCAGCCTGTTATCTGTTTTCAATAACCAAACACTTTCTACACTATTGTGTTATTTCTAATTAAGTGTGTGAGATAACAGACAACTGTAAATATGTGTTAGAGCTCATTATCATGAGAACAGTACATGTACCACATGTTCACACAGGTGTTAAAAGGTTCAGATTGACCACAGTATTTGTTGAGTGTCCAGCTCAGCAGCGTTTGTTCGTGTTATCCACAGTTTCACCATCAGGAGCTCATGATTGTGGGTGGAGAGTAAAACATTATGAGCCTGTTATCTCTGCTTCTATAGAGGGTGAATATGCAAACATGTCTGCTAAATAAAGTGAATGAAAGACTGGCAGATAAAACACGGGTAGTTCCCAAAGACTGTGATAAGATGTTTTGTCAGTAGCTTTAGGTGGCTGTTTACACTGCAGCTTCAGTTTCACCAGGTGGAGCTCATACCTCTGGGACTGATTTCCCAACATGTAGCTGCTGAGTGAATGGCACTGGTGACAGGTGATGCATAAACTCAAACCACACCTGAGACTTAAGAACAAAAGGAACGAGTTAAAATATGTGTTTTAGACGTGACGGTGTGCTGAGCAGTAAGTGTCTGAAACAACCTACTGACTGACTGACTGACTGACTGTAGAACCTATAGAATAAAAGACTATAATATGATACAAAAAAGGAAGACATGTACATAAAAACAACTAAATCAACAAAAGGAGCTATTGTTGCTTTCATTTTTTTTTCTTTTGGTCAGTGATGAAGTCTGGTCGTGGTAAACTCAGCAAACCTTTCAAACTAAATAAATCTTTCTTTATTTGAAAATCTTCAAACACAGACCTCAGATCAGACCGTGGTCTCTGGTGAAGAATCACAGGACACTGACAGGTTCACACATGAGTGACAGTGGAGGAATCGACTGTGATTGGTTCTTCTCCTGTGATCAACACAGTGTATGGTCTATCACATTTTCAAAATAAAAACATTCATTCACTGACTAAAAGCTCTGCTTCAAAGTAAGAGGTCTACCCCCCACCCCTACCCCCATCCCCTGCATTCAGTTTTTATGCTAACTTGTACAGGATACCAAGGTTATAATAGCTTCAAATTTTTTTTTTTTTCCATTTAAGCTTAGTTTTAATTAGGTTTTAAAACAGGGTTTACTCGTTTTTGCTATTTTGACTTGAGTTTTTATTAGTTTCAGTGATTTTTTTTTTTTTTCAATTTAAGCTTAGTTTTAATTAGGTTTTAAAACAGGTTTTACTCGTTTTTGCTATTTTGACTTGAGTTTTTATTAGTTTCAGTGATTTTTTTTTTTATCAGAAAGGTCAGAAAAAGTATTATGTGATAAAAAACTCAAACCATTTTAAAAAGGTTTTCACTGAGGACGAACAACATTCACAAAATACAACTATACAAGATGTGTGTTAGTCAGTGTGTTTGTGAGACAACAACAACAACAACAACAACAACAACAACATGACTTCATTAACACAGTGAATGTTGTGGACACTTGAAGTGAACATGTACTGGTTGTACACCAAGAGCCAATCAGCTGTGAGATACTGCTCCATCTGACACAGATAAAAAGCTGAAGATAGATGACGTATCCAGCCTAAACACTACAGGCTATGAAATAAACTGACAGAGACCAAACTAAAGATATTTTCTCTTTCATTTTAGTTTAATTTTAGTTTTGTAAACATAACGCAGTTTCAGTAATCTTTTTTTATAAAGCCTCCTTTTATTTCAGTTTCAGTTAACAGAAATAAATGATCTATCTTCTCCTCTGACTCTGCTAAAACATAGAATTTAAATACAAGAGAGGATTTTAGTTAATTTATTTATTATTGCTCTGACTAATCAGTGTCAGAGTCAAGTTTCCATCTTGACACATTGTCTGTGGCAGCAGCTAATAGCTGCAGTTAACGTTTTCTACATTTATTAAAGAAATAAAGTGAATTCAGAAATCCTTCAGACCATTTCACTTTTGTTCCACCTCATGCTATAATCATTTTAAATTCATTTTTCCCTCATTATTCTGCACTCAATAATTCAATTTTATAATTTCTTTGCAAATTCATTGAAAATTAAAAACTTAATTATCCCATTGACATAAGTATTCAGACATTTTGCTCTGACACTTGAAGTTTAGCTCAGGTTCCTGCATTTCTCTTGATCATCTCTGAGATGTTTCTACACCTTGATTTGAGTCCGTCCGTGGTGAATTCAGCTGATTGGACGTGATGTGGAAAGACACACACCTGTCTATATCAGGTCTCACTGCTGACAATGCAGATCAGAGCAGAAACCATGAGTGGGAGGGAACTGCTGCAGAGCTCAGAGACAGGGTTGTGTTTCTGCTGCATTGAAGGTTCCTGAGAAGAACATTGGTCTCCATCATTGTGACATAAAGAAGTCTGGAACAACCAGGACTCCTCTAGAGCTGGACCTGGACTAACAGACATCAGGGTGAAGAGAGGAGACCAAGAACCTGATGGTCACTCTGAGTTCCAGAGATCCTGTGTGACATCATTCATAACAGTTTTTCATGAATATAGCTAGGTTGCTAACTAGCTAGCTACAGTATGTAAGAACACAACCCCACTCCTGATCCTGCAGAGACAGCTGGAGCACAACAGCTGACACAACTTTCCTTTAAGATCAGTCATCCTTTACATAAAATATACATAAATAAAGGTTCAGACTTTACTGCAGGACTGTTGGATTGAGTCAGAAAAAGAATCCGCACACTGAATCTGCTAACAGCGCCCATCGATTTACTAAGCATAGGACTTATGTGACTCATGATTTATACTGGACTTCTGATGTACTGTATTTCACACGTGTCTACACACCTGGCCTATAGTATAAGTTGTTTTTGTCCTTTCTATTGAGGCATGCCATGTGGTTCGATCAGACAGTGTTTTTCAGCTCTGCTCTGATTGGTTCAGCCTGAGGGCAGTTTGACTCTCAATCATAAAGGTCACAATCACCTGTGTGATGAATGTCTTTGTGTCTATATAAAGCCTGTTCTGCTTTTTGATGGTGATTTGACAAATATCAAAGATCAAAGCGTTGCTTTATTTAGATTTCTGGGAGCTCTTAGCACAGAATCCGGATCCTTTCTCTGACTCTAGCCTTTTTTTTGATCCAGCACCTGTGAACACCCTGTTAGGACTGTTGGATTGGCATTAGTTTCAACTACAATGGCAAAAATGTCATTGATTTAAAATGCAATCTTCAACACAGTGAAGTGTGTAAAAAGTGAAGGGGTATGAAATCCACAGTCAACAGTGTGTCATCTCTCCTCTATTCCAGCTATGATCACTATGCTCAGGTTGTTTACTTCATTCCTGCCCTCCTCAGCTCAGCTGTGGGAAACTGGCTCCACCAGAGCTGCAGAGCTGCAGAGCTGCAAACAGACAATTATAATTTAACTAGTTTCGCAGTGACTCTGTTTACACAGCACTGTGACTCAGCACTGTAGCTGCTACATAAACAGTTGATGCAGACGCTGTGGCTGACGCCTCCTGCAGATAACTTGTGTCCCACAAAAAAAGCTGCTGTAAAAATGGCAATTGTTCATGAATAAATACTAAATAAATACTTTCTTTTTTTTTTATTAAAGGGGCACTACATTCAGAGCAGAGAATGAGACATCCTGACTGTGAATCTACGGTAGATGTTCATGTCCTTCAAACTCAACACTCCCCAGTTTGTTTTGCATGCTTTCTTTTGAAGATCCATATAGTATGAAAGTAGATGTCCATGTCTTGTTTGATTATAAGCAGGTGTAGGTTCTATATTACTATAAGGGCAGGAACACACTGGATGCGTCGCAGCTGCGGAGCGTCTTGGTTTTCATTTCGGTGCCCAGGGTTAGAGAGGACGCCCTGCTGAGTGACACCTCTCAGCTGCGTCGCGTGATCTAGAGATTCAGCATTTCACCTGACATGTCATTAAGCAGAAACAGACAGAAAGACGACCTGTTGATATCATGTGTGTGTGTGTGTGTGTGTGTGTATGTGTGTGTGTGTGTGTGTCAGAAGGAGTGTGTTTAAGTGCATGAGACGCACACTCATTCAGACTGAGTGACACACAGACACACTGACAGGGTGTTGTGGGTTCATGGATCAGGTTAGAAGATGAAGGGGTTAGTTATAGGGTTGTAGGTGTAGGTAGGGTGCACAGTAAGGATTTGGATTAGGTTAAATGTTTAAGGACTGGTCCCTTTGGGTTTCACTGGATTGGTGCTAAAATCACCTCCACTAGTCAAGAGGTATCTGTGTAGCCCATAGTATGTTATGTAATCCTGCCTGGTTGATATTAATCTGAAGGTGAGAAAAAACAAGGACTTTTAGCAGCTCTGAGGTTGAATGACGTCTATATACTCCAGATTAGGTAATTAAAAAACAGACAAACCTCTCTGTGAAAGTCTCTGTTCCTACATGTGAGTAAGTGAACCTCATGCACTTACACAGCAAGTGAAACCACACAGCAGAAAATACCCACTACAGCAGCAAATGTGGATTAATCCTCTGCTGAAAATAGTCCCCAATAAATACACTGTTTATGTTTTTGGGTTGTCCGTCCATCCCATTCTCATGAACGTGATATCTCAGTAACTTCTTGAGGGAACTTGTTCAAATCTGGCACAAAAAATCACCTCACATTTTTGGCCATAACACCAGACTTCCCAGCAATTATAAGAAAATGTCACACAAAGGGTTAATATTTTATAATGACTCTGGATAAAAAGAGAAGTAACCTGAAGCTAGTCTGAGCGGCCACAAGGAGGTGATTCTAGTTATTTCATTGCTTTGAGCATCACACATTAAATTCCATTCAGATCCATTGTCTCAGGGTTGAGGTAGGTTGTAACCTGACCTGATCTGATTCTGCTAAAGCTGAGGGGCAAACCTGATTTGGGTGACTCTCCTTCATTTGCTAAATCCCACACTGTCAGGTTACCAGACCACAACACTAGTGTAAAGCAGTGGGTGAAGAAAGCTAACTACCCACAGCAAAATAAATCCAGCCCATATTTGGTTCATATTGCTTATGCTTGTCTTCTTCTGGCCCAGCATACGCCCGGTTCCACGGCCTGGATCTGGCCCATGTACAGCATGATTGTCAGATGCTGATTCCACATCTGGACCAATTCTGCACAGAAAATCTGTCAGACAATAACGGCTGGAATCTGCCCAGATGTGGAAATATATGGGCCAGACTCGGGCTGAGGAAACAGTCCTATGTTGGGCCAGAAGTTTAATTTTGCTACCTGGGTATAAAGCTGCAAGTCCAGTGTGAAGGTTTATCAGATTCCCAGACATGTATTCCTGTGTTACTGAATGATGTGGAAAAATTGAGCCAAAATGTTATTTTTTTTCTTCTCTATAGTGAATTAGTTTTTCTTCTGGGATCTACACTGCTACCAAAAGTGACCTGAGGCGAGTCCCAGTCACTGATTGTGTGATCAGCTGCTGCCTAAGTCTGAGTCTAAATGTGTGTAAATGTGCTCACATTATTCCACACTCCCTTAGGAACCTAAATGTTGCTAACAAGTCACAAGGCACAGGGTCACAGGTTCGACATAGATTCATATCTTTCACTAGGAAAATTCAAAAATGTTGGGCACCAAGAACACAGTCTGTTCTGGATCATAATATGCTGAATTAGTTATTTCCTCTAAGGGTAACACTATCTCTCACACAGTTTAACATTGGATAGCTATGGCACTGCCTGCAGCCTTTCTGTCTGAAGACCAGTTCAGCTGCTCCATCTGTCTGGAGGTGTTCAACAACCCGGTGTCAACGCCATGCGGCCACAGCTTCTGCCAGACCTGCATCTCCTCCTACTGGGACAGAGGGGTCGGGGGTGCAAAGTTCTACCATTGCCCCCTGTGTAAGGAGTCCTTCCACCATCGACCGGAGCTCCACATCAACCGAACCCTGAAGGAAATCACTGAGCAGTTCAAGCAGATGGCCAACTCTGGAGCGCCAACAGACAGAAGAGAGGGAGGAGGAGCGGAGGATCATCATCACCCAGCCCTATCTCCACCCTTCAAGCCAGGAGAGATGCCGGAGAGCGTGTTTGCTGAGATGATGACCCGTTTTCAGCAGCTCTCGACTCCCGGGACGCCTCACACCACTATTCCCCATCCCAATGATGCTCATCCCCGAAACTCCAGCCGAGTCAACACTCGCCAGGCCCTCCAGGCTCAGAACAGTTTGCACCATGACCCACCTCCACCGTATTCACCTCCCCGCAGGTACCAAACTACACTCTCTTAAGAGGGCTTTGATTCAACCACATCGTTAATGCAGCCCGGAAAACATTTTATAAAGTAAATAATTCATTGTTCTAAAATAAGTAAAGTAATTTCCCAAAATCCAAACTGACATTTGCAAATATCTTGTTTCATCTGACCAGCAGTTCAAAACCTTAAATGTCCATATAGTGTAAAGATAGATGTCCATGTGTAGTTTGATTACAAAGCAGGTCTAGGTTCTATATTAATACTGTGAAAGTATCAAAGCCTCAGTCCACAGAGAAATGCACACAGCCTGTATTCAGAAACTGAGCCTTAAAACCAGCCGTCAGGACTTCTGGAACAAAGTAGTCACCAAGCCCTGCCCACCTCGACCCACCATCAGATTTGGTTTCTCTGAGTGTTTACCTGAAATCTGTTTTCTGAGTGATCTAATAAAACCATAGCAGTCAGCCAATCAGAAGAGAGGCTCAGAACGTCCTCTCTTCTGATTGGCTGACTGATCTATTGTTACTAGAGAGAGAAGCCTGAGAGAGGAGATGTAAAACTACATTGAAATGGTTTTTAGTTCTTAAAACCACTAATATATCTTTTTATGGATCAACACTTCAAATAAAACACAGAAGAAGGAGAAAATACGGAGCTTTAAGAAATTTATTTCACTATTTCACAGGGCAATGCTGTTTTTCAGAAACATGCTGCTGGGTAATAATTATAAATTTTCCTGCAGATGTGTTTTTGTACTAGAGTCTAAGTCTAATCTTAAGTAGCTAGTTCATTCACACTGCCCTCATTAGAAAAGTTCTGAGTACCTGTCCAGCACCAAGCAGCAGATAGACAAAGTTCTTTCCTCAAGTCTAAAAAAAGTAAATTTTATTTACTATTATTAACTTATTAATGCAACATTTAGAGGAGCAAACGTTAAAGTTGTCATGTACTGAATGTGCAAGGCCTAAGCATTGCTGTGTTTATCTTAATGTTACTGCAGGTATTCTGTGAGCAGCTCAAGTGAAGCCTCCCTCAGTCTGCCTCTGTGCCCCGCCCACCTGAGAGGTCTGGAGTTCTTCTGTCGGACTGACAACACCTGTGTGTGCAGCACCTGTGTGGAGACCGTCGAGCACCAAGGGCACAACGTCATCCCTGCCATGAGGGAGTGGCACATCAAGAAGGTGTGTGTGTGTGTGTGTGTGTGTGTGTGTGTGTGTGTGTGTGTGTGTGTGTGTGTGTGTGTGTGTGTGTCAGTTAGTAGGGAGAAAAATTATGTTTTCACTGCAACTGCATTACCAGAATAGATAGAGTGGTCATATCAAAAAAGACACTGTGGTAGACATGAATTTAACTCAGTTTGCATTCATGCTCTTGCATAGTAGAATCCAAAACAAGAAAATGGCTTCATTTAAAGAAGGTATATGCAAGTATATGCAAGCAACACCAATGTTAACTCTTGTTTTGTTTCTATTTCTATCACTTCTTTTCTTCTACTGAAGTTAGCATGCTAACCAGCTAGCCCCAGTTCAGACGTCTCATCACTGTAGAGGCCAGTCTGCCCTAAAGAAGTAACTGATCAGAGGATGTATTATAAACTCTAGCATTTTAAACATAACAATGGCTGAAGCTCTTGGCAGGTAACCATCACCTCCACCTGTTCCCACCACGATACTACAACTGACGGCAGAGAAAACTTACATATAGCACTTTTGAAGAATGAGGGCCTATTTAGATAATGTTACTGCTGATCTCATGCTGTCTTTTAAAAGTCATTTTTTATTTATATAGTGTGAATTCTAATCTATAAATTTTTTTGTATCTGACATAGTTGTGTTAACATAAGCTGTATGTGTATAGTGGTTACAAGTTATAGACACAGTTCAGTTAAGGTGTGTGTTTTCTGTCTTCTCCAGTCCCAGTTGGGTATTGCAGAGGTGGAGCTGAAGGAGCTCATCTGTGAGAAAGAGAGGAAGGTGGAGGAAATACACAACTCCTTAAGAGAGATACAGGTGAGTTTTCATTCTGTACCAACGTGGGTCATTTTTCAGGTCCAGTCCTGGTTTAAGACTGTGGACACATTTGCGGATTAGCAGTCTAATTCACACCAGACTGTTCATCCGGACAAGTGAAGAGGAGATCAGGTTCCCTATTTGGAAATCAGAGACATATATATATATATATATATATATATATATATATATATATGTATAGGTTTGCTTAATATCTCCCACCTGAATACAGGATCCTGACTTCATATATATTGGCCAGTGAAGTGTGAGTTTGCTCATGAGCACATAAGACCAGCCAAGCTGACAAACTTCCAGTTAGTGCCTTCAAACACATCTATTGCTGTCTGTCTTTTATTCAGGCTGCTGCTGAGAGAGAGACAGATGGGGCAGTTTGTGCATTTTCCAAACTGATCTCCAGTATGGAGCGCTGCCAAGCTGAGATCTTGGAGGTAAATAACAAAAGACTCATTTTAATGGAAGTCAGCAAGTCCTCCACTTCGAGGTGGATCATCTCATCTGCTTGGTGTCCATTTTTCCTGCAGGTGATAGAGATGGGTCGTCGAGCGGCTGAGCAGAGAGCTCAGAGCCTGCTGAGGGAGCTGGAGGACGAGGTAGCTGATCTAAGAAAGAGGAGTACAGCACTGAGCCAGCTGGCTGTATCTGAAGACTACATACTCTTTCTCAAGGTATGGATGGATGAATAATGATCAAAAGTACCAAAATCTAAACAGTTCATCTTTAAGATAAGAGAAGAGATGATGTACCTTTACTGAGCTCCCGTAGAGGAGAAGAGAAATTGAAATTGACACAGCAGCACAAAAGAAAAGCAGCACAAGGGGAAAAATGTAATAAAGAAATAAAATAAGAATGAAAACAGAATCTAAAATAAATAAATAAAGATACATTAGAAATACTATATACAATAACATATACAAATGCAATGTAGGCATGTGTGCAAATATAAAAATAAATATAAATAAATTTAGTAGTTGTCGCAGTTTGTCCGAGGTCTATTGTAAACAGATTTGAGTCTGAGACTGTGGGGGTTGTGGCGTTGTGCAGTTTGATGGCCAATGGCACGAAGTAGCCACCCATTCACTTTGAGTCCAGGTGACTGTTGTCCTTTGAGCACCAAAATCTCATCAGTTTCTCCTTGAGTCCAAATGAAAGTTCCCTCAAGGTGTTTCTGAGATATGGTGTTCTCAAGAATGTGACTGATGGAAGGACAACCTGACAATCGTCCTCATCCCTGAAGCTTTTTCCTGTATAAGGGAAACATGAACATGAGATATGCTCACAACATGAGGGGTGAGGTGTGTTTACCAGCCTCTCCAGCTGTAGCTGTTATGACTGGGATGATTCCAATCTGGTCCCTATACCCTCCCACTCAGACACGGAGTATAACTACTCTTCATTAAGGGGGAGGGTATAACTGCAAACTTTGGGATGCCCTCACCTTTCTCTGATGGAAACAAGAAATTCGTTACCCAAAATATTTCAGGAAGATATTGTGATTAAATCAATATTTATCTAAAAAAAGATCATCTTATACAAAGCATTAACAAAGATGTAGGTGTGTGGGCAATGACATTGGCCTCATCACATTCATGGCATAGTGAGCTTGTGAAAGGAAAATTGTCAATTGAATGAATAAAAAATCACTCACATGCTTCTTGGCCACATTGCTTTATTTTTGATCATGTTTTCATTTTCCATCAGAACTCACATTAGTAGGTGTATGGTATTTCATCCACGCACAGAACTCACATTAGTAGGTGTATGGTATTTCATCCACCCTGGACTCAAAGCGATGCTGCATTCGTCTGGGAGTGTGGTTTGTAAGTCTGTATCGATGCAGACTCGGTGTACAAGGGCTTTATAACCCACTCCCACTTAAGGGTTATTGGTTTGGGGTGACACTCAATGTGTCGGACCCTCCACACAAATGCACAGATGGAGTGAGAGTGGGTAGGGGACTCCCCCTACCCACTCTCACTGGAATTGGGCCACTCTGCGTGTTAAGGCCTCAACAAATAATCGTGTGCTACGTGCTGAACATGGACAACTCTGTGAATCATCTCTATGTTAACCAATGGGACAATCTCTAAAAGCTGATGTTTTTCTTTAAGCCTCATTTTTTATTCCCTCTCTCTCTCTGCAGACGTACCCTGCCCTGTCCACCCCCCCACCAGCTAAGGACTGGTCCTGTGTGTCTGTGTCTTCTGAGCTGACCTCAGGGGTGATTCTCAGGACCGTCAGTCCAATGATGGAGCGCTTTCAGGAAGAGCTGCGGAAACTGCCAGAAGTCTGTAAGTCGTCATTCAGACTGAGAGAGAAAACCGGGTCGTCAAGTAAAGGCTCTACAAACTCCAGAGATGGATTGTGAAACCTTTATGAATGGACCAGCTGGCCTGTAGCAATATCTTCATTTTTGTTACCGTTGCAAAAGACATAAAATATCCCTTTAATTTCTTAATCATGAGGTCATTATCAAGGCTATTGATGTCACTTGCTTTGTTAGTGCTATCTATGACCAAGTCCAGTTGCCCTTGATTCAACTTTTCTTGGAGCACCATGACTGAGAATCTTCACAGAAAGCTCTGATAAATGCTGATGTGTCAAAGATACAAACAGTAGTGTGAAAGAAACCTTTTCTTTTCTCTTATCAACAGGCCAGCGATCCTTGGCGGACCAGTCTGTACCCAGACCCAATCTAAGTAAGAGTCTGATTAGCTGAAGGCATCAAATGTTGTTTTCTGATCCTGAAACATGGCACAATAAATAAAAATATAAAATACATACTATATTACTAATAAATACTCTTTTCTCTACAGAGACCAGGAGGGTTCAAGAATATGCAGGTAGGGTTTAAAAACATTTGTTTTCACTTCCAATTAGTTTTAACACAAAGTCTTATTAACCTCCCACCATCGCTCTCTCTCCATCTGTAAGCCGACATCACTTTAGACCCCGGCACAGCCCACCCACGTCTCATCATCTCAGCAGATGCAAAGCAGGTGCACTGCGGTGAGCGCCATCAGCTCGTACCGGACAACCCCGAGCGCTTTGACCGGGTGGTGTGTGTCCTGGCCCACCAGGGCTTCAACTCAGGACGACATTACTGGGAGGTACATGTTGAAGCTGATGTGAATGTGTTAAAATGATATGGTTGTGATTCGTTGTGTTCAAGGAAAGTGAAGTTTTGTCAGGTTTTACGTGATCAACATCAGCACATGCAGACAAACGTTCATGTAGCCAGTGTTCAGTATGTTCATTAGTATTAGCTGAGCTGTGGACCAGTAGTGAAGACCAGGTGATAGACAAATAGATAGGTGGGTAGATAGATAGATAGATAGATAGATAGATAGATAGATAGATAGATAGATAGATAGATAGATAGATAGATAGATAGAATCGCCCAAAATCACAACTAAGGATAGCAGAGTAGTTAACGTAAAATTAGATCAGAGGTTTACTAAAGATTGGGCTCCAAACAGATTCAGGGGAGGCTCAGTGAATAGAAGGGGAAAATATTGCATTCCCCAGCACATACCTTGACAATCTGATCCAGTATTTAATCTAAGACCAATAAGACCTTACACTATAGATGGTAAGTCTGCACTCATTACAGTAAACTGTACCACACTGCTGTCTTCCAGGTGAAGGTGGGAGGAAAGACAGACTGGGACCTGGGAGTGGCATGCCGCTCTGTCAATCGGAAGGGCAAAATCACAGTAAGCCCCGCCCATGGTTACTGGTTCCTCAGCCTGCGTGATCGGAACGACTACGCCTTTCGAACAGAACCCTCAACCAGCCTGGCTGTCAACATCAGACCCTCACGGATCGGAGTCTACGTGGACTGTGATAAGGGAGTGGTGTCCTTCTACGACGTGGAGGCCAGAGTGCTCATCTATACATTCACATACAGCTTTCCTGACACCATCCATCCATTCTTCAGCCCCTGTACTAATAAATCAGGAAGAAACGAGGCTCCACTAATCATTTGCCCTCCTGCGACAACAGAATGAAATGAGCTGACATTTTAAGGAAATTTTACTTTTTAATTTTTGGCCTACACATGCTTCCATGTATGTTTGAAGAAGACTGGGACAATCACAGCTGCACCTCATTCTTCATGACATTAGAGTAGAGAATGAGCAGGCCATCGGTTAACTTTCAGGTCCCATATTTTACACTTTTCCAGTCTGTTATTTGAAGTGTTGATCTTCCAGAAGATCTGTTTGTGATTTTAAGGACAAAAAAACTAACTCAGTGTAGTTTTACATCTCCTCTCTCAGGTGTCTCTCTGGTGCTCTGTCAAGAACAGGTTGTTTTGTGTCGGTCTCTGAGCCTCTCTTCTGATTGGCTGATTGTTTTCTGAGTGACACAGGGCCAGCCAACCGCAGGTAACAGATTGTAGCCTAGTACTACTGTAGCTTGGTTAAACTCACAGATAAATGCAAATGGAAATGGTCAGTCAGATGAAAACAGCCCAACTATCCTTGGGAAGGCTGTGCAGTGACATATTGGCTTTGTTTAATCCAAAGATTGTGCAGCATTTCCTCAACATTTTTCTTGCTAGCTCAGTGGCGGAATGACTTCTTAGTGTTGTGTTGTCAATCAAGGTAAAACAACAGCTGAGGTTGGATGGTGTGTTACCAAAATCCTGGCAGTTGGTTGTAAGGCTCAGTTTCTGAATACAGGATGTGTGCATTCCTCTGTGGACTGAGTAATTTTATCCTTTCACAGTATTAATATAGAACCTAGACCTGATCTATAATCAAACAACACATTTATTTATATAATATTGGACCTTAAAGTTAATCCCTGTTGGGCCAATGTGAACACTATCAGACTGAAGTCAGCAGTAGCCAATATTTGTCTTCTAATATTCAGTGCTGAAAACTTTGACACAGCATTATGTGCCCACATGAAAATAAAGACTAAGACCATAGCTGACATGCTGTGATCCATATTACACACTAGAAAGTTCACGTTAACAGCGTGTCATAAATTGCTATAAACGTATTGGATGGATGCATTATGAGAATTGTATACTAATGTTTGTATGTTAGAATTCACCTCTGGCTCAGCTGGCTTCCTGTGAGTGCCATGAGAAAATGTACTAATATTACTAATATGCCTCTTTGATAGTCCAACGGTATTAGAGCTAACAGTTCAAATACCAATACAGAGTAATTTCAGATGCACATGTGAATTGGTTTCTCTTTCTTGACACTGGGTCATGCATGTAAAAATACTTTTTTAGACTCTGGGAAAGATTCACAAACATTAAACCTTCATGGGTGAAAAGTAAAATACAGAGTAGTGACTGACCTTTCTCTGCAGAAGTGTCTCGTCATTAGTTTTACAGATGATTCTTTTGTAAAGGCAAGTCTGTGAGGAAATGCTGTGTGGGCTGCAGGAGACTTTTAGTTGCAGTGCTGCAGTCTTTTTTCTTTCTTTCTTTTTTAAAATTGATCAAAACTTACTTAATTTAAATCATTCTTTTGTTGACTTCTAAAGGACACGGTGTCTAGCTGGCACATGATGTTCTGTGATGGCAGACAAGGACAGTTGCAGATATTTTAACTGTCCCCAAGCTAATCAGCTAAATCAAAACCACAACACCACACCACAGTATTTTTCTACTTTCGTTCAAAATAGAAAAAATAAGCAGATGCTTTTGTCCCATAGCTCAGCAGATGCAACAATAATTGCTCAGTTTGATTTATAAGAAAATACAAATAAGTTATTTGAGGAATTATTTTTGTCTGCTTCTCATGGTCTTACAATATATTTTCCTGTTCTGTTTATCATAAGCAACAAAATAGATAAATTGTGCCTACTTTGACTCAAGGTAGATTCCATGTTGTATGCAAAACAAAACTCAATAACTGTTCTTTGATAAATATAAACTAAATAAATAATACTGTAATATTATTGTAAAATAACACTTTTTTTAATACTATGCTTGTTGAGACAAAAATTAAAAGTTAATTATGTATTTTTAATATGTAGCAACCTTCCCTGATCACAATGAATATTGTGAATGATATGTCATATGTAATTGTTTTAAATGATAATTATCAGACAGATTTTCTGTTGATGTTTTGTTGGTCTGCTCCATATAGTCTGAGTAACACAGAAATGCAAAAAGTTTTGCAACTGTCTCCAGTCTCCACTATTAACATGTATACAGTACATAGTTGCTGTATTGTGATATGTTGATACAGTAAATGTTATTCTAAAAATACATTCATGTAAAATCAGTGTAGAATCTCATTTTCAAATTAGGACATATCCAAGTACTCAACTCTTTATTCAATCAGGGTGGAAACAAAACCAGTGAACCGAACCTGTTCACACTGTCATATTGAACAAAAATCACTGTGGGAAACTTTCAGAGACTGACTTGTTAAAACAGCTTCTTGAATAATATGTTCTTCATCAGGTCAGAATGTCTCAATACAAACATTTAAATGTGTGTAAATAAAATAGTTCCTCATACGTAGCGTAGTGTTCATTTGTTTGGTGGAGAGATATGGGGAGTTGCCCCTGCAAGTAAACTGAAGTACCCCTGCTGTGCTTCAGCTGCCTGTAGCCATATGCAGTAAGTCAATGGCTACAACCTGACAGCAGTTTAAAGATGCTGGTCATATATCACCATGATAAAGGATCTTCTCATGCTCAAGAACTGATGCAGTTTGACACCAGTATTCCAGTTTTAATATTAAAGTATCTCCTGTACTCAGTGTCATAATGACATCAAATGTACATCTGTGACTTTCACATCAAAAAATCTTTAGAAATAAACATGTGGCTCAGGATACTGAACCCCACACTGCACCTGATGGCCGTCCCATCAGTGTATGACTGTGCATATGAATGTGTGAATGAATGGGCGAATGTGGCCAGTATTGTAAATCATTTTTCGTTGCTGTCACACAAAATTCATTCAATAACCACATTTTCCAAAATCCATGAACTCTTTTCTCATTAACACTCCAGCTCCAGCTAAACACTATATATCTGCAGCACATGGTTCAAATGCTAACACACTGTTTTCAAAACTGTTAAAAACACATGCAAAACAGAATGACGGAAAATTTCATGCATTTCTGCAGGAACCATATTGAAATATATAGAAAATCTCAGCAAAATATTTACAGTAAAATGAGAGAATAATCCAAACACAGCTGATTGCAATTTCAGTTTGAAGCAGTTGTACACTGTACCCTTTGAGAGAAACGGTGAACATGTGACAGAACTCTGGTATCAATATGTCCAGGAAAGATGTATACAGGGTATATACACAGCTATGCATAATGTAAAGGAGGCTAGAGTAAAACTGTGGATTTACTGTATTTTAGAGAGTAATGGAGATGGAAGCTACATGTTGTTGAAGATTGTTTGTAGATATTATTGCAGCCCTGGAATTTCAGGAATTAGTTTTTATTTTTTTTTAAGTATATTTTTTGGGCTTTTGTGCCTTTATTGGACAGGATAGTATAGAGAGACAGGAAATGGGGATTGACATGCAGCAAAGGGCCGTCCGATGCAGGATTTGAACCGGAGCCGACTCCAGTGAGGACTGTAGCCTCTACACATGGGGTGCCTGCTTAGACCACTGCGCCACTCAACGCCCCAGGAATTAGTTTTTATGTTTCAAATTTTTATTTTGCTCAGGAATATAGAATAGAATAGAGAAAATAAAGGAAGCAAATTGCTGCATTTCTGATTCATTCTTGTTACATATACTTTAGTATAGTCAATAAAGTAAAAAGGTGATATTCGTATTCTATAATGAAATACTGATTTATGTGTAAAATTATTCAAATTTCAAAGATAAAAGTTAATAATTTATGGGATATTCCCACTGGTCATTGTGATATGAGTAACAGTGGAGGCTTTCTGAGTGAGAAGTGTTGTCAGTGTTGTGGTTGAATGAGCTAATTCTGAGACATGTATGAAGAGTTCTGGTGGTTTGAGTGAGTTTTGGAGGTGAGATTAACTGTTTGGCCAAGTTGCATATTGGTAATGCAGACTGTATGAAGAGTTTTGAAAAAGTGGCTTCAGTATTGACAAATACTTGTTAACAATTGAAAAAACTGTAATAGCCTGACCAGTGCAGAGATGCAGTTGCTAATGATGTTTGAAAAAGGCAGACATATGGTGAGGATATATATATATATATATATATATATATATATATATATATGCTATATGTGGATAGAAAATGTGGTGTGCCTCAGTCTACCTCAGCTACATTATACAAAAGCAAAGTAGAACAGCGCATTCACTTACACAGAGACAATAATCCAGTAATGGTACAAATGTCACCACAGGGTATTTGCAGTGAAGAAAAACAGATGAGTGAAGAGACAGCATTGTGTCATTCAGACATTCAGACAGGAAGCAGGTTTGCCTTTGCTATAAGGTATGGCATGCCAGGTTTGTCCTACAGGTGTGGAGTTGCTAGCCCTGTTGACTGCCCGTGTTTTCTTGACACTATTTGTATATGAGATGACATCTGTAGTCTGTTGTGAAGAGCAAACAGAGACATTCACATGGATTAAATAAGGGACGAGATGATGCGATTTAAACCTAATTTGTCTACTTTTTTTATCATTGAGTCTTGGAACCTCCCATGATTCCCTATCTGCTCATCAAGTAGTCCGATATGGAAATAGAAACTCCTCAGCTTGTGACAAATAAGTCGTAAGGTGTGTTCCCACCTTTAACTAAGCACCGTGGGTAAGATAACACTCACATACCACACAGGAGTGAAGCACTCCTCCTATTCCTGTTGAACCTCCTCTGAACAGTGAAGTCAGACCTGAGGCCTGTGCCTCAGGTTCAGCATACCCTGGATAACTTTTAGTTATCTGGTTTAAACCTGAAGTTATCTCGATGACTTCACATGCTGCTTCATAGTACAGACCTTTGCCTTATTCACACTGTACTGACTGGTTCCTGGAGGAAACTGTTGGAGGAAAAAAGGACCAGGTCCGGGCCAGAGACTAAGTCTAGACCTCTTCACCAACACATAACTTTGTACAAAACTGTACTTTTACTGAAGTCAAAAAAGATTCAAAAAAGAAGTCACTGGAGATTATCAGAGTCCAATGCAATAGAACTTATTCTTTCACAAGAACAAAATCGAGATCAGATCCGGATCTGAACTGAAGACAGAGAGCCTGTGCACAATCATATACTGTATAGTTCTTTCTTAGGTGGGTT